CATTGTCTTTCATTGTGAATTGCACTTGGGAAACGACCAGGATCGTAACAATTGAATGATTGTTGGGGGAGGGCTGCCCAGACACACAAACACAAACTCCCACACCCACACACACACCCACACACACACCCACACACACACCCACACACACACACACGCACGCATGCACACACACACACACACACACACACACACACACACACACACACACACAAACACACAAGAATAACCGCATAGGAGAACATGAAACTACAATGAAAACAAACTAGTCATGAAATGCCATACAAAAGTCATGTCGAAGTGCCGGCGAAGTCGCATATAGGAGTCCAATATGAAATACATCTCACATGGTACAATGTGTCAGCGACACTCGTGTCGAGTCGCACAGGGTCGTACACCGATGGTATGCAGCCTAAACCGCTAACTAACAAAGCTGAAAATAAAACCCTAACAAACATCTACGTAAAACGACAAGTCAGAATGAAGTCCCACCTCTAACAAAAACCCAATAACTAAAAAACAATATGAAAACGACATACATAAATGGAAAAACGAAACAAACAAACACTGTCGACGACACTACCCAGTCTACCTGCATGCTGAAGTCCATGAACTGGTTCGAAGTCCCTAAAACCTAACTATATGTACATCATCCTAAACAATATACAACAACGTCAGAACACTAAGCACAAACAACATAAAGGCGTCGTGGAAGCACTGGAAGGGGAACGAAGCTGTCAATACCGTCGACTTCCCTTCCCCTTACCACTGCCTCTCTGCCTCGCCCCACTCGTGCTGCGTGTCGACGAAACACTCCCTCGCCCCGGCGTTGTCGCAACGGATGACCCTCGCCTCCTCCGACTCCTCGTCTCCCGCCGCCCTGGAGGGGACGGGTCGTCTACGTCATCATGTCCTCTACGAGAGCCACGTCGTCTACGARAACCATGCCGCGGTGGAGGGGAGGGCTCGTCGTCGTCGTCGTGGTAGCTGTCATCATCCCCGTTGTCGCTCTCCTCCTCCTCACGCTCCTTGTCGTCCCTGTACTCGTCACCCTCCTTTGGGGCCTCCTCACGTGCAGGCTCCGTCTCGGGATTGTCCTCCACCACGGTCACATGGGCAGCCCCCGTCCTCACCCGAACAAGCCTAGCACTCACCTGAGTCACCTCTGCGACTGTCTTCTCACGACGAGAACCGCGCGGCATCTCCAACCCCTCGGCTCTAGAAGACTCCTACAACGCGGCATCCCCCGTGGTAGGCATCATCTGAGGCATGAAACTCGTACGAGCGACTCCGCGCGCGCGAAGTTTGCTCACGCACAACACGTACTTCGGCTGCCAAAGCAGCCTGCAAGGTACACCCGGCCTGTCCAACCCCGCGAGCATCTCGCGGCTGAGATACTGCCGCCATGACCTCCCTCGGCGCACCCCTCCCGGTGTCAGCCCCACCCAAACCTGGCTGCTGTCGTGCAGTGTGCACTGTGACCCCACGTATGGAGTCCAGGTCGATATCCGTCCTCCCGAATAGCGACGTGTCAAGAGGGAGGCTCCCTACAGCCGTCGTGTCACGAACCCTGGGTCTGGTGGGCGTCGATGGTGAACGGGGGGGCCGACCGACTGGTGTCGAGGGGGAATCGCTGTGACGTGATCTCGGAGGAGGAGGCGACATAAGTGGTCTGCTAGGGTCGGTGTCCTCCCGCCGCGTCACGTCACGCACAGCAGCCCGTGCGAGCTCCGTGAAATCCAATGGGCGAGCTGTATCATGAGGAGCTCGCCGCCCAGTAACCGGTGTATGAAGAACTGCCTCAGATCCTAAATCCATGACTATGACCGGTGGTACCTGAACAAATGCCTCCTCCCCAGGACCTGACCCCTGCACACACGGTCGAACTGGCCGCATCGTCGTCGTCATCTGCAAGCCCGTGAACGGTACCAACGAACTGCTACCTCCGGGGATATCCGCAGGGGGTGCATCCTCACGCTCCTCCTGAGGTTGCTCTACTACCTCCTCACACCCCTGCTGAAGCGTGTCTGTCTCTCTCCCGGAGCGTCCTGCAAATGCCTGCTCGATCTCCTTTGTGGTGTACCCAGCGGCCGCTAGGGCACGCGCCACATCCTCTCTCTCTGCGTGACCAGGGGTGGGCGGATCCCCCAAAGACAAGTCCATGAAATCCCCCATCCCCAGCCCTGACGCCCCCCTCTGTCCTGATGGCGACGCCCCCAGTGCCCTCCTCGTGGCCGGGGTCAAACCCGCTAGTGCGGGACCCATCTCGTCATCGACGAAACGCTGGATGATCGGGTCAAGGTCACCGCCTCCCTCTCCTCTACCATGGGCGACGTCCCCCCCTACCACACCCTCCTCTCCCCCAACCAACGCAGCAGCATCTGCCCTCACCACATCCTCCTCCATCTCAACCTGGGCATCACCATCATCTATCCCTGCCACACTCTCCTCTACCCCTGCCACAGCCTCCTCTCCCTCATCGTCCCTTGCCATGGCCTCCTCTCCCTCCTCGTCACCATCATCAACCCTCGCCATGGCCTCCTCTCTCTCGACGTGCGCACCATCATCTACCTCCACCACGCCCCCCACTACTCCAGCTACCTCCTCCTCCATACCCCGAATACCCTCAACTCCTCCCACTCCGGCGGCTCCGTGCTCCTCCGCTCGTCTCTCCCTCTCCTCCACCGGTGGTGCCGCGCTATGAACACCCATCTCCCCCAAGTCGCTCGACGCACGCGGGTCCAAAAGGAGCTGACGGGCTACGCTAAACAATGATCCATGCCCGCGGATGCGCAACGAGGATCCCAAGTCCTCCCTCCCAACCGGTGCAAGTGAGCGCTCGTCATGCCGAACGGGAGCGGGCGGAGCAGATGCTGGGAATCCTGGGATAGAATGACGTGAAAAAGGCGACGGGGACGAGGGTCTGGACTGCGTAGCGGGAATACTCATCTGCTCTCGTGTGGTTGTGGGAGCAGGCGTCTGCTCCTCCGCGGTCGACGAAACAGTCGTCCGCTCCCTCGCTGTCGTGGCAGGACCCGGCTCCTCACTCGCAGTCATGGGAGCAAGCGTCTCCTGCCGCAAGGTCGTGCGAGGACGCGTATCCTCCCTCGCGGCAGTGGGTGATCTCTCCTCCGTGCCCCCGAAAGATCCCCAAAACTCCTCGCCCCCCATCATATCCATGTCTCGCTGGTCTTCTGCCCTCCGCGCGGTGTGCGTCCTCTCGTCACGCACGTCGCCCCCCTCGTGCAACTCATCAATCTCACGCGGGATGGGAAGCATCGGGTCGTCCGCTGCTTCCGAGTTTCTCTCGCCCGCAGAGTCATCGTCCCTGGGGTATGGGCGGAAGATAGTCGCACGAGCACCGAAAACAGACTCAACAGGGGGCGGCGCAGAAGACCCACTGGATCGCGCGCAATGAGGGCAGCCTGCTCCTCGATCTCCTCCTCCGTCATCCCACTCCTCGTCCCCGAGCGCACAGGCTCCACGTCCAATCCTGCCTGAGCGTCAAGCATGCCCTCGTCTCGCTGCCAAGGGAGGACGTATCCAGAACTTGCACGTCCATACTCCATCAACCGCACATTTGCGGTGATCTCAACAAGATGAATGACCTTCTCGAAGGCCAATTGATTACACTTCTTCGTATGGATGCCCTCGTGGACGGCCCAGTTCCTCTCCACTGCAGAGGCGCAGGACCACATGTGCATCAAACGAAGTGCGCAATGTTGTAAATCGGGCGCGTCTCCCCCGTATTGAGACCACCACGACGCACACTCCAACGTCTCGCAGTCTCCGATGCAACTACGCGCTCGAGCGCGCCCCTCCGCCCTGCCCCAAGACCCATACCTACCCTGCTGCATGTGAAAGTCCTCGAACTGCCGACATACCTCAAGGTAACGACCACCTGACTCGTCGTGGCCCGTCTAAGACAACAGATACCTCTTGGCTTGTCGAACAAGCCAAGTGTGGTACCGGTCGAGCTGCGTGGAGAAGTACTGAACATTCCGGCGACGGGGGTTCAGTAAGAACGCGGCGCAGTGTGCGGGCTCCATCATGTGTTGTATACGGGCCTGCACACACCTCATGATACAGTCCGAAATGGACTAACCAAGAGGAATGCAAGCGTCCCGCACAACGCGTGCAAGATCCCGGGTCCACTCTACAACGAGGGACATGAACTGCCCGCCACAGTCCATCCGCCTCAGCAAGTCCATGACAGGATCTATGACGTGCTTGATGGCACGCATCCTCTCCCACCAAGGGGACCACCTGATCTGTCGGCGCACCCAACGTGCCATGTCGCGAACGTCGGTGGACCACGGGATCCTAGCCCAAGCCCGACCGTCCTCCGCTGTCATCATGCCCTGCAAACGATCCTGCAGAGCGCACAGCCTCTCCAACATGGAGTACACGGACGCAAAGCGCGTCTCGCATGAAAGCACGAGGCCCAACGCCACGCTCCGCTTCTGAAAGAAGCTGAGAGCGGCGTGGTGGGTTTTGAAAAACACCACCAGAACTCAGGCACGCGTGATCGTGTCCACGAAAGAGGTGCAGATCGTGCCAATATCTGACAACAACTTGTTGCAGACATGGACGCAACACGAGAGCCGAGTGATCCTCCTCAGCTCAGGGGGCATAGATGGCGAGGCCAAAACCCTCGCAGCCCCCACGTATGTAGAGGCGGAGTCAGTGCATATAGCATTGACCCGCTGTGGGCCACCGAATCTGAAATCATGAAAGATGGCGACCCATCTCTGCAGACGTGCACCGCATCGTCCGGCTCCCCCTCTCGGTTGATCGTCGTGTACATGACGACCCCTCGAGACCCAGCTGCGAGGAAGTTCACGATCGGTCGCCCATCTCGTGACTTCCTCCCGTCAGAGAGAAGGGTGGCGCCACTCACCCATAATGGCTGCCTAACCTCCTCCAACTCCTCAGCCAACTGCTCGCGGTGGATCTCCACAGTTCGCATGTCTGCAATCTCGCTGTGGGATGGAAGCACGGGAAGAGGCGCTCCACCAGGTTGCCGAAGAGCAACCTGCTGGAGGTCTCGGTACGCCGTGTTGCGGAAGGCATTGAAGGCAATCCCGCTGGGATACACCCAGCGAAAGAATGCCTTCCTCCACTCACCAATCCACTCGCCACCATATGTGTCCGTCATTTTCTGTTGCCGCAACCTCTTCCCTGCACTGGTGCCAGAAAGTTGTGCACCCCCCTCCTTCCTCTTCGAAGAAGCCGGCGTGCTTGCTCTATCAAGAACAACACTCTTCGAAGAACTCGGCGTGCATGTCGTCTCAGGCGGGACGGCCTTCTTCCCGCACTTCCGCTCCCAGTCCACTGCCCTCTGATGAGCCATCGGATCGGACTTCGGCACGCCCCCCTCTCCCCTCGGTGTCCGCTCCCCCTCAGCCACGCCAACCTCTAGGTCAAAGTCTGCCTCGTCCTCCTCCGCGGCACCCGCACCCTCCCCATATCTCGCAATACCTCCCTTCGCATAACGCTCGGTATCCTCTCCCTCGCCCACGCCCTGTGTAGGACGCTCCGCCTCGCCACCCATCGCACCCGACCGCGGGACATCGAAACCACGCTCGTGTGCGAACCTCCGCACCCTCTCTACCTGATCGGCCTCGAAGAGGTGTGTGCGTTTCTGCGCAATCTGGTACAATGCATCATCAGGCACCTTCTGCAATAATTCTGCTGGGTGAAGTGTTTCGTTGTGTAGAATTGGGTTCCTTGAAACACCTTATTGCAGAAGGTGCACCGTAGCACATTAACCCCCCTGCTGTCGACCTTCTGGCCGACAACAATATAACGGTACACAGCAGATTTGCGCCTATAATCCTGCTGCACATGTTCGGGCGCAGGCTCATGTTCGCGCGTCTGTTTTCGCGGCATTGTGAACCCCCCTTAAAGCCACGCCCTTTCAACTCCCGTTGAAACCCCGTTGAACCGTGCTCCCGTTGAAACCCCGTTGAAACCCCGTTGAAACCCCGTTGAAACCAGTTGAAACCCCGTTGAAACCCTGTCGACACCCCGTCAACACCCCGTTGAACCCTCGTCCTGTTGGTTCGGTGGGGGACCGCTGGCGCCGCTGATCGGTAGGGGATGTCGCCTGCACCGACACAAAATAAAACAATCAATCCATCAAACAATCAATCAATCAAGCAAGCAAATGGGCCAAAACATCAATCAATCAAACGATCAAAGTTGATCAAACCAACAATCAATCCATCAATCAATTGATTGATTGATTGAATTCACTATTTTCATCAATCAATCAATCAATCAATCAATCAATCAATAGATCAATCAATCAATCAATCAATCAATCAATAGATCAATCAATCAATCAATCAATCAATCAATCAATCATTAGATCAATCAATCATTAGATCAATAATCAATCAATCAATCAATCAATCAATCAATCAATCAATCAATCAATCAATCAATCAATCATTAGAT